CACACACACACACACACACACACACACACACACACACACCAAAGCCAGAACTCAGATCTACTGTTTAGAAAGAGGGGGGCATCCTTAGATCCTTGGTTTTCAAAGAGTTAAGCTTCAATTTTTCACACCCAGGAAATAAGTAGTTTCCTTCTTGGATTCTAATGTGCTTTCTTCCCTAGGGCCTGTTTCCCCATCCAAATCCTTTCCATAGGTCTCTGCAGAGCTGCTTGTCTTTTTAATATACCGCTGGGACCTTTGGTTAGATACCACAGCCTCTGAGCTTGTGGAGGCATAGCAGCATTTGGGCTGAGTTTGGGAATGAAACTTTGCTTGGTGATGAAGTTACCAAATGACACATCTAGTAACTTTAGATGACACATTTAGTAACATCACTAGCTCCTGACTTTTACAGATGGGGAAACTGAGGCCTATATTGAAGAGGATTGACTTAGCCAAGTCAGAGGTATGTTGGAAATCAACTACAAAGCCAGAAAAGGAAGGGAGATGCTTTGCTCTCTAGTTCAATACTTCTTTACACTGAATTCATCAACACACCTAGAATTTTATGAGGGCCTTCCTTTAGCAAGGCTTGAAAGGAACCACACGGGCCTATTCCCAACTGGGTTTTCAAAGAGTTGGATCAGAACAGAGTAAGGTTAAAGTTAGCCTCCTCATCCCAGGAGAAGAAAATCATGGACATAAATCTAAAGGCAGCAATAATTCATTGGGTGTGCAAACCCAGACTGGGATTAGAGGTATTACAGGGGAAATTCAGGTGGATGACTAAGTGGCTACAAAAACAAGCAACAGCAAAATGAACAGTCATTAGTTGAAGTGGCCTGGTTTAGAGGAAAGGTAAGAGTCATGGCTATAGGTAGTGCTGGATGGCTCTAGAAAGTATGGATCAGGGAGGTTTTATATTTGTTACAAGTAGACTTGAAATTTGACCTGCTTGAAATGAAAGCTATTTGACCATGTCTTGCCACTGTATATGCTACCCCCCCCTATTACCACCTTCATGGATCTAAATTGAGGCTCAGGGAGGGTAAGTACTTTGCCCATAGTCACATAGCAAATTTGTAGCTTTCTCTCTGTCTCTGTGCAGATAATTTACCAGTGCCAGATTACCTAATAAGCAAGGTAAGTACAGGGTTACTTGTGTTTGCTTATCAATCTGTAGTGAAAAATGTCATAGTTTTTCACGACATCACATATTCTGCTTCTAGGTGAGGTCCTATGTGAAACTGTTCACAACAGAGTAGTAATAAAGGCCAAGTAAGCCCGGGTTTGCCTTG